GCATGTGGCTGTTCAGTTTTCCCAACACCATTTATTGAAGAGACTGTCCTTTTCCCACTGTATATCCTTGGGTCCTTTGTTATAAATTAGATGACCATACAGGCATGGGTCTATTTCTGGGCTCTCTGTTCTGTTCCATTGATCTGTGTGTCTATTTTTGTGCCAGTACCATACTGTTTAGATTACTGTAGCTTTGTGTTATAGTTTGAAATCAGGGAGCGTGATAGGTCCAAGTTTGTTCTTTTTCAAGATTACTTTAGCTATTCGGGGTCTTTTGTGGTTCCACACAAATTTGGGGGTTCTTAGTCCTATTTCTGTGAAAAATGTCATTGGAATTTTGAGGGAGATTGCACTGAATCTCTAGATTACTTTGGGCAGTATGGGCATTTTAACAATATTAATTCTTCCAATCCATGGACACAGAGTATATTTTCATTTATGTGTGTCTCCTCCAATTTCTTTCATTGGTGTCTTATGTTTCCTTGGTTAACTTTATACCCAGTATTTTATTCTTTTTGATGTAATTGTAAATGGGACTGATTTCTTAATTTCTCTTTGATAGTTCGTTATTAGTATATAGAAATGCAACTAATTTTTGTATATTGATTTTGTATCTTCCGACTTTACCAAATTTGTTTATTAGTTCCAACAGGTTTTTTGGTGGAGACTTTAGGGTTTTCTATGTATAGTACCATGTCAGCTACAAAGAGAGACAGTTTTACTTCTTCCTTTCAAATCTGGATGACTTCCATCTCTTTTTCTTGTCTAATTGCTGTGGTACGGCTTCCAATATTATGTTGAATAAAAGTAGTAAGAGTGACCATTCTTGTCTTGTTCCTGATCTTAGAGGAAATACTCTCAGCTTTTCACTATTGAGTATGATGTTACCTGTGGGCTTGTTATATGTGGTCTTTATTATGCTGAGGTACATTACCTCTATACCTCTTTGTTGAGAATTTTTGTCATGAATGGATGTTGAATTTTGTCAAATGCTTTTGCTGCATCTATGGTGATGACTGTATTGGGTTGGCCAAAAAGTTCATTTGGGTTTTTCTGTAAGATGTTACAAACTTTTTGGCCAGCCCAATATGATTTTTATCCTTCATTTTGTTAATGTGGTATATCACACTGATTTGAAGATGTTGAACCATCCTTGTGTCCCTGGAATAAATCCAATTTGATCATAGTGTATGATCCTTTTAATGTACTGTCAAATTCAGTTTGCTGATATTTTGTTGAGGATTTTCTTGCATCAATGTTCAGCAGGGATATCGGCCTATAATTTTATTTTCTTGTAGTGTCTAGTTTTGCTGTCAGGGTAATGCTGGCCTTGAAAAATGAGTTTGAAAATGTTCCCTTCTCTTCTATTTTTTAGAAGAGTTTGAGAAGGATTAGTATTAATTCTTCTTTAAATGTTTGTTAGAATTCATCAGTGAAGCCATCTGGTCCTGAACTTCTGTTTGCTGGGTGTAATGCATTTTTAAATGTTTCAAAGAGCACTCTGTGTCTTAATAAATAGACAATATAAGAGGTGTGCTTACCCAGACAATCATTCTCTTAGGGAACATCAGTTTAATTTCAACATCATAATTATTCTGGCACTAAATCAATCAAAGCGTTTTCTCCTTTACCTCAGTTATGATACTTAAATGTTACTGAATTGAAACAATCATAAAATTGAGGAAAATACTGTATACTGACAACCTACAACAAATATGTCAAAATATCAATAATTTGTCCAATTCTTCATGGCCTATTGATCGGTAAATGCCATGTCACTGCTCCAGCAGATCCCTGGGTCATTGTAGCTTCATGACTGAGAATTGAGGCTGGCCAAACTCCGCATAAGGGACCACACAACCACATGCCTGACCCTCTTCCGAAATGTTAACATGCCCAAAACATTAACCCAAGTAGAATGAGAGCACTCTTCCTCTTAAAGATTAAAGACCAACAGCTCCTGTTGCCTTTGGTGCCACAGTCACTGAAACTGGGGTCCTGGGTGCCTCCACCACAGCTGGGGTACAACTCCTAGCAACATCCTTAGACTGTCATCATTCCTTAAGGTTTGATAAATGCAGCACCTTGTTTAAAAGACAAGCTCAGACAGGAGCACTCCATGACAACACTGGCCTGGGCGCCAAATGGGATAAGATCTCTTATTCAGTAACACACACACTGCTCTTGGTGAGAGTGTTTGGACTGGAATTATGTGCTTCCAAGGTCAGCTAATTCACGGTCTCACAACCAGAGCTTCCCTTTAGCCTCCAGCCCTGAGACAGAACCTCACCCACTAGACACATATACTCTGGTAGCGATGGATTCACTCTCAAGAGTGTCACTGCTCTTCCCTGCAGGCAAGAAAAAATGAAGGCTATGTAAGTTAATTAAAAATGTTTAACAACTTTGGATTCCAAAAGAAAGGCATCATTATGGGCCCCTTTCCTCAGAGGAAACTCCTCTACTTCTATGCAAATTTATGGTTACAGATGGATTCATAATGGAGGGTTTCTCCCTCTGCTCCTAGGGTAGCAATGAAACTCCAATAGATATAAGAGAAAAGGGGTAAAGTCTACTTCCTATATCCTAAGCAGATACCCTGGCATGGCTAAAATGTCTTTTTCAAAAACAACATACATGTATATATAAAATGCCTTGCACATGATAACTATTTATCAACAAAAGGTACATTTCGTGTTCAATGAAAGATAGCTATTGTTATTAAAAACATAATCACACAATGCACAGATTCTGCTGGGCCACTTCTCAACTGGAAAAACCACATGGAATGGCAAACAGCATTTAGTTCCACTTTCTTAGTCATCTACATATTCACTGCAAAATTAGAGCTGAGGTCAATAAAACACAGACTTTTGTAATAGTCCAGATCAAACTCTTTTTTTCCCCATCCCTAAATTTTACATTTGCAAGTAAATGACCATAGTGTGCTGACTAACAACCTAAAATGATAACAGTATGTATTTTCATCAATAACTAAAATTGGCTTGGCTGTATAGATTCTTGAAAAAGAAAGAAAAAAGGCAAAACTCATAAAAGTAGGATAAATTGGAATCAAATATCATCCCCTGGATAAATTCCTTAATTGTGTGTATGCCCCTCAGCACTTCACAGACAAGTAAAACAGAAAAACACACATTCGTTTTAATCCGAGAGCCTAGAGATGAATACTAACTCCTTTTCATTTGTCCGAAGAGACTGAAGATGAGAGATGCTCACGAATGGAATATGCTTCTATTCCCAATAGCCAAGACATGGAAACAACCTAAATGTCCACTGACAGATGAATGGATAAAGAAGATGTGGCACATATATACAATAGAATACTACTCATCCATGAAAAAAGAATGAAATAATGCCATTTGCAGCAACATGGACAGACCTAGAGATTCTCGTACTAAGTGAAGTAAGTCAGAAAGAGAAAGACAAATACCATATGACATCACTTATATGTGGAATCTAAAATATGACACAAAGGAAGCTATCTATGAAACAGAAACAGACTCACAGACATAGAGAACAGACCTGTGGTTGCCAGGGGGGCAAGGAAGGAGTGTGGGGGAAGGAAGGAGTGGGAGTTTGGGATTAGCAGATGCAAACTAGCATATATAGGATGGATGAACAACAAAGTCCTACTGTATAGCACAGGGAACTATATTCAATATCCTGTAATAAACCATAATGGACAAGAATATAAAAAAGAATGTATATATGTATAACTGAATCACTTTGCAGTACAGCAGAAATTAACACAATATTGTAAATCAATTATACTTCAATTTAAAAAAAAAAAAAGGAATGTGCTTAATCACTGGGAGTCATGCTGGCATCAGCATCCTGGGCTCTGGTCCACCTGTAGATATGCAGAAAAGTAGATGACAGGGACACACATTCACAGGCCTGTCTCCCCAAATGAATAATAACAACAGCTTACATTTACATAGCACTTACTGTGTGCCAGAGACTGCTCTAAGCACTCACCGAGTGTGAGAGACTGTGTGTGTGTGTGTGTGTGTGTGTGTGTGTGTGCATGCATCATTTAATCTTCACAACCACTCTATGAGAAAGCTACTTATCCTCACTCTAAAGATGGGAAAATTGAGGCCCAAGTTCACACAGCTCGGAAGTGGTAGAGCTGGCATTTAAACTCAGGCCATCTGAACTCTGTAGTCTGTGTTTTTAACCACCACGCTCTACTGCCTAGAGCGGAATCATTTCCCCTGAAGTGCCACCAGAGAAAGTGTTATTCTTTCTGAGAACAGTGGTGGTGCTGCTGTCTCCTAGTTTTTCAGATGACCCTGGAACCTTAGGTTTTTTCTGACTTAGCATGTCTGCAGTTCACACTAGTGGAGCTCCTGTGTAACTCTGAGAAGTTCAGAGATTGAACCGGTCACTTAATTAGGCAACAGTACAATGTGACTTCCTGTCCCCTGGGCAGCACTGCACTGGGCACTGAGAACTTACAAGGTAAAGGGAGGATGGCCCTGCTGAGGCCCAACCTAACATGACAGTTATTAGAGAATGGGCCTTTGGGAGGTAATTAGGTTTAGGAGAGGTCCTGAGGGTGGGAACCTCATGCTGGGAATAATGGCCCTTATAAGGAGAGACACTTAGAAAGCTTGCTCTGGTGAGGACACAGCAAGAAGGTGGCAGTTTCTCAACCCAAGGAGGGAGCCTTCACTAGAAACCAATCATGCTGGCACCCTGATCTTGGACATCTAGTCTCTAGAACTATGAGAAAATAAATTTCTGAGTTTGGGGGGGGTTTCTTTTTTGTTTTTTTAAATTTATAAAGAAAAAAGAGCTCAATTTATTTTGTACTTTTTTTACATCAACATCTTCTTCTTTCCTGCTTTAAAAAGGCTCACATTCTCAGTTGAAACCCCAAATGTCAGTTTGTGGGGCACAATGTTATTTCATGGGTAAAAGCGGAAGTGCTGATATTAATTATTAATTAATCTTGATTAATTACAAAGCAGTTCAAAAATATGGAACGCTTCACGAATTTGCACGTCAACCTTGCGCAGGGGCCGTGCTAATCTTCTCTGTGTCGTTCCAATTTTAGTATACATGCTGCCGAAGCAAGCACAGATTTCTGTTTGTAAAGCCACCCAGTCCATGGTATTTGGTTACGGCAGCCTAAGCTGAGACAGACACAGACAGTGTTTAATGACAAAGACAGGATAGACACTTAAATCTGTGTTCATGGAAGAGAGACAGGAGCGAGAAACCATATTTAGAGGTTTACTAGTAGAAATATTTATGCATTTTAATAGAGAAGGTAAACAGGGAAGGATGGGTGTTTATCATGGTGGCAGATAATTATTATCATCATTACTCTTGCTACCACTTACCAACATTTAACATACTTTCTCATTTAATCCTCAAAAACAACCCTACATGAAACTGAAATTTAGAGGGACTAGGTCATTTCCCCAGAGCATATAGCAATATTGTCAGGACGAAGACGGGACCCTGGCTCTGGCATCAAAGCCCCTGACTCTGCCTTGCATCATGCAGAAGGTGGCAGGACAGCTCTGGGTTTTTCCGGCAAAGCTTCCAGAGCAGCTAACATCCAGGAGGGTAGAAACCCAGCAAACAATATCTAGAATTAAGGCTTTCAAAAAAAAACAACAAAGTACTTCTTTCCAGCTCCTGCCAAGACAAAGGAAAAGAGCGGCTTCTTATCCGTAATATGATTCTCACTTTTAAATTAATCCAGGGAGAATAAAAAGATAGCATCAGCCGAAGATGCACATGGAGACTATGATCAAGCTCCAAGTATCCTAAAAGGGACTTTGTCTGCTCTGGATAACCATGCGCTTGTGTCAATCTTAGATCACATTCCCTTTCAGGTAAGTGTGAAAACTGGGAAGGATTTGATGCTTAAAATTTAGTTAACAATATAGTATTATCAAGATATTGGATTTGAAATCCAACGTACTCCACTCTCTCTTCACTCAGAAAACCTGTGCTCTAAAGCGAATTAATCGAGGAATGAAAAGGTGGGTAACGCCTACGGAATCATTACAGGATGGCTACATTTTTTGTCTGAAGCATTCTGCTCATTTGAGCATTTTGTTCTCAGGAACAGCCCAGTACTTAAGAATAATTGTCCCACAAATTAGTGAAGGCATTCTTTGTCAACCATCTGGCAGGCTGTTAAACGGATACATTTTTCCTTTTTTTCCCAGCCAAATGATTTCAGCACAATGTACTACCAGATGTCTTCTGTTTCTGAACAAATGATGATAGAAAGCAATCTTTGTCTAACAACAAAGGTATAAATAGTGAATAATCTTGGCTCCATTTAAAATGTAATGCAACAAACTGTGGAACCCTGAGCTCAAAGACACGCTGTTCAATTTTCTCTCAATTTTCCTAAGGATATTTTCTATCTCCCAAGATTATTCTAAACGATAAGGGGAATGATGCATTCAGAGATAAACAGATGATAAATGTTGGCTCTATTTGTTTTGGTATAAGAATAAAGTCTGCCTCATGAATTATAAAGTATTTATATGTGTGAGCAGAATTCAATAGTATAATCAAATAAGCCTTAAGAAAATGTTCTATTAGCATTCTAAAATATTCACAATTGTTGTTGCTCTGCATGCTAGTTGAGCAAACCCAAATTTATATTAAGAAGTGTAATGTTTAATTCTTACACAAATTACTTTTATGTGTCAAATGACTTATATCCCTCCTATTCCCAGAAGGATTTAAAATAGATTACAACGAAAGATATAACTAAGGAAAGTAAAAAATTTTTAAGTCGAGGACTAAAAAGAAGATGTAAACATTCTGACTACAAGATAACATCAGTGCTGCCACTGAGGTTCTGCATACCCTCATACTAAGGTCTAACACATGATAGATGATAGATAGATAGAGATAGATAGACAGACAGACAGATAGAGAATAATAAATTGTGTGGCTGCCATTATGCCATAATTGCACAGTAAAAAACACGTCAACTCTAAAGAAACAACTTTTCCTGGCACTAAATTCAAACCACAAGTTTATAGGTTAAGGGAAGGGAAGTGGTGAATAAAAAAGAAATACATTATTAGAGCCCCTCTGAATAATCTTCAAAACATAAACTAGAAGTCTCTATGGAGACGGACCATGGTGACAACATTCCAGGAATTCCAAGATGATGGGATCACCCCCACAGAGATGCTGAAACAGAGGCAGGATGGACACTCCTTTCTCAGGGCTAGAACAGATTGGGGCGGCTCCAGGATCCAGGCAGTGGACAGAGGCTGTGCTGCAGCCAGGCACAACACAGCCCGGGTGCGCTGGGGCCTGTGGCAGACAGCGAGAAGGCAGCCCCGCAGAGAGTACACTCCCAGCCCGGAAGGAAGGGCACAAACAACACCCTCTTTCTGAGGAAATCCAACCCACAGGCCATGTGCTCCCAGTTGCCGGCAAAGAAAAATTATGTGTGAAATACTTCCTGGCAGATACGCTGTCGGTAATTACATGCAACATCAAGATGAGGTTTTAAGCACAGCCTGCAGGATTTCCCTTCCATGGAAGATGTGGTAGGTCATGGCAAGGCATCTCTTGCAACAACCAGAAGAAGCCAAATAAATTACCAAAAATCATACCTTTAAAGACACTGAAGACCTATGGGGACACTGAGGACCAAACATACTACAATCCCAGGAAGGGCAGGTTCCCTCCCAGGTGATCTGAGCATCAGAGACAGAAGGGATGGCAAGAGTGCCAAGCTCAGAACTCCCAGAGGGTGAAACTCACCTCCTACTCTTTCAGGGCACAAGAGACAGAACACCAGGTGCTCAAGGAAAAGCCTGAGAAGGTCACACCTGAAGAACATGTATAAACCTGTCCTGGAAATACTCAGTTATCACGTGACTCAGTGTTTCAGCCCTGAAAATATAATCTTCTATGATTTAGGAATATAGCCCAGATCTCAATGACTTTCCTTTATAAGGCAGTAAGGGTCTTCCATCTATGCATTTATCTAAATTCTTTGTTCACTCATTTGTATTTTTAGCCTGTGCTACCACCAGGAAAAATGAGACCTATAAGCTTACTCTCCACTATGTGAAGAGATATACATAAATATATTTACAATTCCACTTACTAATCCATTTATAACAGATTTCTAGAATAGTCACTTCTAATTTTCCATTTCTAGGCTTCAAGGCACTAAAATATTTAGTCTGTTACTGACTATATTTGTTTTTGCATCTTTTTGAAACATATTTTTAAATACACAGTTAACACCTGAAGATGTTCTCCATGTTGAGACGTTTTGAATCAGATTTTGTAGGCGGCCCATCCAATCCCATTGTCTTCCTCAGAAGTAACCGCTTTGATGTGAATCTTTTCAGTCCTTTTAAAGATACATTTATGGTCATATAAATGCAAATAGAGATATATTTAGGTTTTTACATGACATATTTATGCAAGTATTACATAATGTGTTGCAACTTGGTTTATTCAAGTAAAAAGACAAATTCCTCATATGTACAGATACCCCTATACATGTTATTTTTTTTTATTTTGAAATGTTTTTCAAAAAACATTTTACTCCTTTGTTATTCAGCTGAAAGTATTATGTTATAATTTATAATTAGGACAGAGTCTGTACTTTTACTAATAAAATTCTGAAATGAATTTTAAAATAACTAGAAATGTACCTTCATTACAGTCAAATTTTTGTAAGATTTTTTTTGTCTTAGGTTGTATTTATAACCCTGAATTTCCAAAAGTATTAATAAGAATTGAGGGGTACCACATGTTATTTAATAATAAGAACTTTTGAGTAGAAAGTGATCTGTGTCACATAAGAAAACAATCATCCTCCCTGTAGAAGCTGGTCATGGAAAGTTCACTCAATTCATTACTTTCCTTAAAAAGGAAACAGTTCCAACTGTATCTCTCACTGCTGTTCTCCATGTTCTGTATCGTCACTAAAAGTCTTGTCCATATGCTCCTTGTTCTTTTTGATTCTATGCCTTGCGACCTTCCTCTTCTGGCTGTGAGGCGCGTCTCCACGGCAACACGTGTCCAAGCTCAGCTTGCCTTCAAGGGCAGGTCACTGACCCCCCTCTCCAAAATCACTTGCTTTCTTTAGTTTTCTAATCAATAGCTGCACTCTCTTGGACAAGTCACTAGAAACTGTAAATCTATTTTCCTAGAGTATTAGAGAATCTCTCAATTTCCCCCCAGTCCCCAATGTGCAGTGGTTCTAAAAATGCTCCCTCTTGGTGGACCCTCCACTGCATTTATCACATGTTCCTCTTTGTGGGGCTAATACAAGTCTCCCCTGTGGGATGGAGCCTGGCTCACCTCCCAGGCTAGAGGGCGCAGGCGGAGGGAAGGACTCGCTGGTGAGCACTTTACTTGAAAGGCTTCCTGTGATTTAGATCCTTATGATTTTTTTCTTTTTAACAGCTTTATTGAGGTGTGACAGACACACAATAACCTGCATGCGTTTACACTGTAAAACGTACACTTAAATGTGTTCATACGTATGTTCTGACACATTTATGCAACAGAGAGACCGTTAGCCCAATCGAGACAATGAACATATATAACCACCACCCCCAAAAGCTTCCTTGTCCCCTCTTGCATATCTGTTATTCAAAAATCCTTCCTTTAATTAGGTGGCTATATAATTACAGATTCTTTTGTATGTAAACGATATTTACCTCAGACTTAACCTTGGTTGCCTGATTTTAAATTTCAGCTAGGCCCTCATCTTCCAGCTTTGACTAGGAATCATCTTATTTCCTGAAGCACTATTTTTCAACCTTTCTTCCAACGCAACCAATCCTATCAGTGGCTCTTCTCATTATAGGGAGTGATTCTAACACAGCCTTATGGTCAGAATCCTTAGTCTTGTATATGGCTTAACTGAGAGAAGGGTTTCAGCAGATTTTTCCACACAGTCTTTAAAAATAAAAAGCAACTCTTTATAAAACACTGACGCATAAGCAATCACTATACTATGATCATGACATTTTAGAACAAGAGGCACTAATAATCTGACAAGTATTTAAAGAAACAGAAGTTCCCAGGAAAATCAGGCCCATTGATGGTTCACAAAATAAC